TACTAGTGTGTACGACTACTAAAACTAAAACTAAACGTAGTACGTCTACGTTTAGGTTTGGTTTACGTTTTTACGTTTTACTTACTATAGTAGGTGGTGGTAGTTCTACTACTCTCTCTCTCTCTCTCTCTCTCTCTCTCTCTCTCTCTCTCTCTCGTCCCCCCGAGGTTGGTCAATAGGTTCAGTAGGTTACATCTTGAAAGTTGGTGTTCAACAAAAATACTCCTAGCTAGGTTTTGGCCCAAGGGAGCAAGTGTATGATTTGCTCTTGTCCGAGCATATAATCCTTTTTCTATTTCAAATTTGAAAGCGAGTGTTCGTTGGGTAGGGGAATTTGATAGGCCAAGGGCATGGGCAAATGAACCTAGTGGATTTGCTGAAATGAAATGTACTTTCTTTAAAAGACTTCCTATGGAAACTAAGGCCCTTGCACTACTTTATGCACTTCAAGACTTTACAAAATCACTGTTAAGGACTGGCAATTATTAATTTTGGAAGGAGTTCCCTGAATGTGGAATGACAATGAAAATGGTCCATCATCTTTTGTGGTGATATAGTGGAGGCGAGAATTTTGTCCGTTTACATCAATGGTACCTTTTCCCGTGTACTAGTTAACCAATATCAAGTTAAGGCTTGTTGACTAATTGGGTTGTAATGGCTTCTGTTTGCTGCTCTGTAAACTGTTAAAGTTTCATTCCTTGCTTGTATGCCTAAGCATAGTGCTTGTTTTCTTGCAAAGTTTTCAACAATGATTAGCTCCCAAAAGTGATATCAAAATATGTTTTGCCCTAATTATCAAGAAATAATTTACTCTGATGGATACTCTAGTGTTTGCTCTTGTGATTAGGGATGAGGATTGCTATATTAGCAGTAACAGTGAGGACATCGGTGGTGTTAAAAGCTCAAGCAGTTTCAAGCTTGATATAGGAGATTTGGAGATGCTTTTAGAAGCATACTTTGTGCAGATAGAGGGAACCTTAAACAAACTCTCAACTGTATGTTTTCCTTTTGTTAATTATACTTTTCATATACGTTTTTCAATATCATATTATGCCATGGCCTTTGTTTGATCCAATCAACTTTTCTGCTCTTACTGATTCAAACCATATTCCACTGCATTATACTATTATGTTTTTCTAATTTGTGATGTGAAATAAGCATAAGCTTGTTTTGTTACGCAAGTAAAAGCTGGGAGCATGGTTTTACATATGCTATGGTTGTACTTTGCTTCCTGAAAAGTTTTAGTGAAGTATAATGTACATGTGCATTTTACAATTTGCTTAACCATATTTTTTATATTTGTATCTGTTAGTTAACTGATTGGCATAATTTTGTATTTACTTTTTTATTTTTATTTTTTTGTTTGTTGATTGTTGCTTTTTGTGAAGTTGAAAGAATATATGGATGATACAGAAGACTACATCAATATAATGCTGGATGACAAACAAAACCAGCTGCTTCAAATGGGAGTGATGCTTACGACTGCGACATTGATAACCGGCTTTGGCATTGTTGTTGCTGGTACACTTGGTATGAATATCCACATTAGCCTCTATGACACTGGGATGCCACAGTTCTATCAAACCACCTTTGGTATAATTGGAGCTTGTGTGGTTCTCTATTTCGTGGCTATTGCGTGGGGTAAGAAGAGACGCTTATTGGCATGATAACCAATGCTCTAACTGATCTTTGGTTCACTGAGTGGCTGCCTAATCTCTGTGTGATCTC